GGTCAAAACCGATTGCAGATTCGTCTTCTCCATGGTTGATTATGTGGTACGCGATAACTTCTGGATCGGGGTACTTTAGAAAAAATTTTCGACATCGTTTTGCCTTTGGTCCCATACGGTAACATTTGGAAAAATTTTTGAGCAAGACCGTGGGAAAAATTTTTTCTAAAGTATCCCGATCCAAAAGTTATTGCGTACCACATAATCAACCATGGAGAAGATGAATCTGCAATCAGTTTCGACCGAACAAGCTTTTGAAATTTTTCGATTCGGCGATATGTTCATAATTATTCGGAGCAAACCGAAATTTTTCAAACATTACCGAGGTATGCAAAGTTTTAAACCGAGGAGGCATCGCCTGTAGTATGGAACACTCTGATCTATTCATATTAGAAAATAAATACATTTTTATTCAATGATGACTGTGGTTACAAAGATCTCTAAGAACGCTATTTAAAGAAAAGATTTTCACAAAAAAATTAGTTTTTACGAAAAGATGTGTTGCAGTCAGGGATCCCAGATCCAAAACACGAAAATAAAGGTCCAAAATCAGAAAAACCTGAGAAAAAGAAGTAGAAAATCAGTAGACCTTAGGGCAAAAAAGAGCAGAAACGAGGCAGAAAAAGTTCAAAAAATTCAAAAAAAGTTCAAAAAAATTTTCTCCCAAAATCAGAAGATCTGGGATCCCCGGTTGCAGTATTGGCAATCGAAAAGGAAAAAACACTTGTCTATGTTTCTTACGAACAAAATTTATTTAAAGAATATTCAATTCATTTTACTTTTTCTTTATAGTGAGACGAGTTGCTCGTCATCTTGTGTTAATATGATAACTTACCATCAGCTTATGTTCAATTACAAGTATTTAAAATTATACTTACATTTAAGCAAAACATTTTTTTCTTTATCATTTCAATACTTTAGTGATTGTTTTTTTGTAATTTTTGAAAAAACATTCTCGGTAAGGGTGGTGGTGATGTAATTAATGTACTGGCTAAATATTGTAAAATAGAAATTTCCTAAATTTGAATATGGTTCAATGTAATGCATGTGTATAGTTGTGATACAGGAACGAGATGACATACTTCATCTAACTTTTTTATCTTTTTATTATTGTCACTGTTTAAACGTATACAAACAAATTTAATAACATGTTGAAATCGTACAAATATTTTTTCATTAAAACCATCACGCCATAATAATTCATTTAGTCGAGGTTCCCATTCATTTTCATCGAGTGTAAAAAACCAGCGAACAGATCGTGTCAGAATATCTCGTGGCAATAATTTTACTTTTATGTACACTTATAATTTTACCTAGTGTTACGACACCATAATGTTTGACTATCAACATCAAAACAAGACTGTACAATATCGTTTATTTTGGAACCAATTGTATTCAAACGTTTCGATATGATTGATAGCTAGAAAAAGCAGACAAAGATTATTTTAAGAAACAAATGAACAGACACGTAATTACCATTCTTTTTCCCATAAGATCAAGACTTATTAAGCCTAAATCAAAATTATTTAATGTGTGAATTAACAAATAAAATTGTTGGATAATCGATGAGCGTATGTCACAATAAGATCGTTCAAAATCAAATATGGAATTTGTATCATCGTCTAACGTCATGTGTGGTCTTGATGATAAAAGCACATTATCGGAGAGGGTCATTGACTAAAAACACAAAACCAAAAAAAGGTCATTCATAAACTTTTGAACAACACAAAAGAGAACTAACAAGCATTCGTATAACAGTCGATTCATAAAATGAATTTGCTTTTGATAAATTTTCACATAATAATTGTAAATCACATTTTGCTACGTCATTTGACATAAATTCGGTTTGTATAAGCAATGGCAAGGATAAAACATTCGTTTATCGACGGTGATCGTAGGACGCCAGTTTCTCGTTAATATAAGAAATGAGAAGTAGCAACTGAGTAGGGCCAACAGAAAATGGAAGGAAAACGATGACATTATAAATGAATTCGTATATTTGCTTGTTTAGGCCATAAACAGTTCAATGTTTTTTTGTTCGCCTAAAAGCATACATGTTTGATCGCTAATGCCATAATATTGTTGTGCTGTAACTTTGGTACTACATATTGATTTACTTGATGATGTTTGAGTCCATGATCGAAGTTGTTCGAGAAAAATATGTGATATACCAATTAAAAGCCGCTGATCAGTTGTTGCATAAAACGTTCGTTCAATCAAGGTGATTCAGTATTCATTTATCTCACGATTTTTTAACATCGTATTGTACTGGATAATTATAAGGAAATTAATAAATATATAGCAAGAAATATATTTTGATATTTCTGAATTGTTGGTTCCAGATACTTGATCTATATGAAAGGAAAATGCACTTAAATGAGATATAAGGGGATGAGGTACTTACTGGAGGAAGTTGTCCGTCACCTAGTCGTGGAACATCGGGTTACAACCAGGTCCTTTACAGAACAATGGGAGTTTATTCCTTCAGCCGTCTAGTCTTAAAAATTGTTTATACGTGTAGTTTAAGTGAATCCCGGCATTTAGATTTCGCTCAAGCTTTCTCATTTTGTACAGCACATCTCGAAGTAATATGTCCTGAAGGTTTTTTCGGCTTACAGTTATTAGCTGACTGAGAAAACAATTAATTACTCTCAACATTTAAACTAATTTTTGAACGCAGCTTTTTTACTGTCAGGCAACCGTTTACCATAAAAGTATGATTCAAGCGTAGAACGAAAGAGAAATATCTGGAGATTATTCTGTACAGAAAAAAAGATAACAATTTTCGTTCTTTTCTACTTTTGACAACTAATTAGCACTGATTATCATCAATTCGTTTCGTTTCACTCTCTTAAAGTAGTGTTGTAAAATGACTATTCAACATAGAAAATTGAGCTAAACCTCTTCAGATAGAGAATTTCACAGCCTACGACATAGGTTACTCTGCAATCTTTTACATCAACGTATGATAGTTTAAAACAATACATTTTTTCTCGAAATAAGTTTAAATGTTGAGAGTAATTAATTGTTTTCAGTTAGCTAATGACCGTAAGCCGAAAATACTTCAGGATATACACTTCGAGATGTGCTCTACAAACTGGAAACATATGGAGTATAGACCCAATAGTTAAAAATTTAGCTTGATTTTGGGTTGAGCTCGTATTTCAATACAGGCCATGAACCAAGTTTCGCATGAAAAAGCATTTTGCTGCAAAAATCTAAATGCAAAAGTTGTTCAGAATTCTGTGGAATATGAACGAGAGAAATTCTTTTTGAAATCCGCAAACACGGTTTTAAAAATTTCTAACCTTATGACTAAACCGCTTCTTAAATTTAAATTTAGAAATCGAGTTTAAAGAATTTCAGAAATCTCTCGTTTATATTTCCGAGAATTTGATTCTGAATGATTTGCATTTTGCTGCAAAATGCTTCATTCATGCTAAACTCGGTTCGTTGTTTTGTCAGAATACTTTTTGCCTCAAAATTGATTGTCTATCTTAAAGAATGAAAATTTTCTTAAAGTGGATAGCTGCTACCTTATGAAAATAAAAGCAAGACAAGTTTTGTTTTTCATTTTGTAACGAATGAATGTCGCTAAAACTGAATAATGAGAAAATTCAACATATTAGGAGAAAACAGCAAAAGGACTTTAAAGTCAGCTCGTAATATCAGCAAAATTTGTCACTAGGAGGAAACTGTAAAAATCAGAACGATCTAGCCAAATCAGGAGATTCGTATACTTTTTTAATTTTTCCGCATAAAAAAAACACGGATTAAGCCATAGTTAATTAAAAGTGGTTAGTAACAAAAAATGAGTAAGAATTATTAATTCATTTATAGGGTGTTATATCCGTAAAAACGGTGTACAAAAAAAAGTGTACAAAAAATTAAGTAAAAGTTGACTTTTTCCTCAACATATATACGAAATCTATCTAATTATAGCATACTCGAGATGGATTAATGAGAATGTTTGTCATGCAACTCAAAGGTGCCGTGTTCAGACCTACAAAAATTCAAGATTATTCGTCAACTCTGCGCAAAACGTAAACATCCCGCGCATAATACTGTGCGAAAAACTAAGTCTTCTGCGGGAAAACTAAGTAGGGAGAGACTGAATGCCGATATGTAAGATGTTAAAAGTGGATAGCGATATGATAGATGAAGGTGAAAAACGTTGAAAAAAAACGTGAAAAGAAGTTTAAACTAAGGTGAAAAGCGAGACAACCGTCAAAATCTTTTTTCTGCAGAAAATGTTTCTTCAGAATTCTGCGCAAAAATTTCAACCAAGTTTAAGACAGTCACGAACAAAAAATTTTCGCAGAATTCTTCTACATCGGGAAAAGAGAAGAATTCTGCGGAAATTTTCGTTCGTAGATGTCTCAAACTCGGTGGGTATTTTAGCTAAGAGAAGAATAGAGTTGTCCAGATTTTCAAAAAATTCTAGCTGAATGCGCCGGAAAAAGTTCTTTTTTTCCCGCAAAAGACTTTCACTTCCCGTGTGAAAATGTTTCAATTTTCCCGCAAGAACTTGCAGAATCACGTTCATTTTTTCACTGGAAATGACAGATACTTTTATGTTTATTGCAAGATCTTGATATGGCTCACTAAATGTCCGAATCTCTTGCTCTCGATAATGACAAGAAATTGCATTCTTGGCTGCTATCGTGGATTAAGAAATGCAAAGAATCAAGAAACGTTTCTTGACCAAAAAGTGTCCGAAACCCTTTTTCTTTCGGCATCTCTCAACTTTGTAAGATAAAAGATTTGACTTAGAATTATTTATTGTTGAATTCTTATCTTGGGAAGTTCGTATGCATTAAAAAACAAATCCTCAAAGTAAAGAAGGAAGCTTTTGTCGTAGAAC